ATAAACACATAATTATATGTTGTTATTGTAACAAGTGATCAGGATTCAGTAGAATAACTTATCAAAATGTGACAAAAAACAAAGAATGAAGTATGTACTTATTAGTTTGATAAAAAGTATTTTTCCTCGAATTCTGAAACTCTGACGTAAAAAATTAACAAAGTCAAACTTCGTCGTTTAAAAGTTGAAAGAAAACCTAGACCATTTGTGGTATCCAGTTCAACGTGGTATTCCAGATATAAAGGCTCGTAATGAAAAATATTGAATGCAAATTTGATGGGACCTTGGGAGAAACTTCGAGATAAATGAAAATGTTCGAAATATCAAAAGTTTAAGTATATAGTAAAGTATCAATTGACCGAATATCAGATATAAAGTTCGTAATAATTAACTTCGAAATATATTGGTTTGACACGATAACAAGAGGCGGATTTATAAGGGAATGTAGTATTTTAATACGCGTAGACCTGAAATACTGGAAAATACTTGGTCGAACACAATCTATTAGGAACATACTCGCGGGAGTTGTGCCTCAGGTCTGTACACTATACGGTATAGAACCCTATGTAAAATCTCGGTAAAACTTTAAACTGCCTAATATCTCCGGTAATTGGCTGCCCGTGTCGAAAAGAGTAATAAGTAGTTTTTACATTATAAGTGCATGTCAAATTCGATACAGCGCTAACGATTCACTCGTGCCAAAGTCCTAGCTATATGCAACTCCCGTCTCAGTAAGACATGGGTCTACTGGAGGGGGTAAGTACAAACCATAGAAGTTCCTACTGTGAATTCATTTCATAGCTCTTTCACAACACCAGAAACAGCTAATGAATACTGTTTCCGACCAGGAGCTATTGCTTACAGCCATTACACACGTAGACAGTGAAACGCATTGCCGTAATTTACATATTCCATCTGGCAAATGTCTGCTGCAATTATTTTGATGCATACCTGTCTTAATCCCTTCTAATTATTTCAAAAATAGATTGAAGTCTCATCACGGACACTGTTGTTAACGTGAGGCAGGTATTACTTCACAAGAGTAATGTTGAATGGGTGGAGGAGGAAGGCCTTGTTTGTGTCTTAACGCGCCGTCTGTAAATAAAATTTCTCGAAAATTCGCTGTCATTTCGGCACAATACTTCATTGTTTTCATGAGAAATACTCTAAATTAATACGCAGCAACGGCTTATAGCGTTGCCATGAATGAAAATCGTGCTAGGGCACTTAATACACATACGCATTATATAGTACAAATGGTAAACACATTTTTACACGTATTTGTATTTTTTCCTGAAAATAAAGGACTACATTTATTGATAGGAACCTTTCCTACCAATTGTAGTGTCTAAATGCCAATTTCTAAGGGTTCCTCTAAAAAAAAAACAATAGTTGCCATAAGCTCCCATACAAACAGATTTTGTTTAAGCTCCCATACAAGCAGATACTGTGTAAGCTCCCATACAGACTGATTCTGTTTAAGCTCCCATACAGACTGATTCTGTTTAAGTTCCCATACAGACTGATTCTGTTTAAGCTCCCATACAGACTGATTCTGTTTAAGCTCCCATACAAACTGATTCTGTTTAAGCTCCCGTACAAACTGATTCTGTTTAAGCTTCCATACAAACTGATTCTGTTTAAGTTCCCATACACACTGATTCTGTTTAAGGTCCCGTACAGACTGATTCTGTTTAAGCTCCCATACAGACTTATTCTGTATAGACTCCCATACAGACTGATTCTGTTTAAGCTCCCATAAAATCTGATTCTATTTAAGTCTCCATACAGACTGATTCTGTTTAAGCTCCCACACAAAACGGTTTCTGTTTAAGCTTCCATACAAACTGATTCTGTGTAAGCTCTCATACGGACTGATTTTCTTAAAACTCCCATACAGATTGATTCTGTTTCAGCTCCCATACAGATTGATTCTGTTTCAGCTCCCATACAGACTGATTCTCTTTAAGAGCTCCCATACAAACTGATTTTATTAAAGCTCCCATACAACTGATTCTGTTTAAGTTCCCATACAAACTGAATCTGTTTAAGCTCCCATACAGACTGATTCTGTTTAAGTTCCCATACAAACTGATTCTGTTTAAGCTCCCATACAGACTGATTCTGTTTAAGCTTCCATACAAACTGATTCTGTATAGACTCCAATACAGACTGATTCTGTTTAAGCTCCCATACAAACTGATTCTGTATAGACTCCCATACAGACTGATTCTGTTTAAGCTCCCATACAAACTGATTCTGTATAGACTCCCATACAGACTGATTCTGTTTAAGCTCCCATACAAACTGATTCTGTATAGACTCCCATACAGACTGATTCTGTTTAAGCTCCCATACAAACTGATTCTGTATAGACTCCCATACAGACTGATTCTGTTTAAGCTCCCATACAAACTGATTCTGTATAGACTCCCATACAGACTGATTCTGTTTAAGCTCCCATACAAACTGATTCTGTATAGACTCCCATACAGACTGATTCTGTTTAAGCTCCCATACAAACTGATTCTGTATAGACTCCCATACAGACTGATTCTGTTTAAGCTCCCATAAAAACTGATTCTGTATAGACTCCCATACAGACTGATTCTGTTTAAGCTCCCATAAAAACTGATTCTATTTAAGTCTCCATACAGACTGATTCTGTTTAAGCTCCCATACAAAACGGTTTCTGTTTAAGCTCCCATACAAACTGATTCTGTGTAAACTCTCATACGGACTGATTTTCTTAAAACTCCCATACAGATTGATTCTGTTTAAGCTCCCATACAGACTGATTCTGTTTAAGCTCCCATACAGACTGATTCTGTTTAAGCTCCAATACAGACTGATTCTGTTTTAAGCTCCCATACCGACTGATTCTGTTTAAGCTCTAATACAGACTGATTCTGTTTAAGCTCCCATACAGACTGATTCTGTTTAAGCTCCAATACAGACTGATTCTGTTTAAGCTCCCATACCGACTGATTCTGTTTAAGCTCCCGTACAGACTGATTCTGTGTAAGCTCCCGTACAGACTGATTCTGTGTAAGCTCCAATACAGACTGATTCTGTTTAAGCTCCCATACAGACTTATTCTGTTTAAGCTCCCATACCGACTGATTCTGTTTAAGCCCCAATACAGACTGATTCTGTTTAAGCTCCCATCCAGACTGATTCTCTTTAGCTCCCATACAGACTGATTTTGTGTAAGCTCCCATACAAACTGATTCTCTTGAAGCTCCCATACAGACTGATTCTGTTTAAGCGCCCATACAGACTGATGCGGTTGAAGCTCCAATACAGACTGATTCTGTTTAAGCTCCCATACAGACTGATTCTCTTTAGCTCCCATACAGACTGATTTTGTGTAAGCTCCCATACAAACTGATTCTCTTTAAGCTCCCATACAGACTGATTCTGTTTAAGCTCCCATACAGACTGATTCTGTTTAAGCTCCCATACAGACTGATTCTCTTTAGCTCCCATACAGACTGATTCTGTGTAAGCTCCCATACAAACTGATTCTCTTTTAGAGCTCCCATACACACTGATGCTCTTTAAGAGCTCCCATACACACTGATTCTCTTTAAGAGCTCCCATACAGACTGATTCTCTTTAAGAGCTCCCGTACAGACTGATTCTCTTTAAGAGCTCCCATACAGACTGATTCTTTCTATCCCCCACAGATATTTTGGGTCTTGAGTAAATATTTACAATTTTGAGGATCTTAGCAGTTCATTTGACTAGTCAGGACATTCACACAAATATAAATGAAAAATATATTTTTAGTATAAGAAAGGGAAAAGGTTACTTTTCAGAGAGTAGAAAGAAAGTTATGAACTCACTTCTATCCAGTTTTGCGATTTGTTTTATTCACATAATTTTATACACTCAAGCCTACCAATGACGTCGTTCTGTAATGTCCTTATTTATTGAAATATTAATTTGGGGCAGGTGTGGCCCTTGATACCGAGGCAGGTTCGGTCCAGGCAACGCTTGGAAGCCGTGACATTGGCGGGAAGATCTCACGTTGCATGCTTTCGTCATGATTATTTTGATTCTGACGTGGGCCGAACTTACGCCAAGCTGTCTGATTCAATATAACTGACAGAAAAAGTGAAATAGTTCTATAGATGTGGACGTGTTTTCTCTTTTGTTATAATTCATGAAAGGCATAACAATTCTCTTCTGATATATACACACATTTCAACAGATGCCATGCTGTCCAGAACGACCTAATACTAAATTTTGGCCGAACTTGCCCTGGTCTCCCCTGAAGTTGACGAGATTGATGTCTGTGTCTCCTTACCACCATGAGATTGTAGCAACTGTACACGTATATTTGTTTAATGATCTATTTCAGATTAAAACAAAGAGATGTTTTGTGGTAGATTGTTTATTGTGGGTGCTGTTGACAAGGTCGTGGTTCTGGTTTCAAATGCCTAAATAACTGATCAGGCCTATTTTGAAGCAAAACTTACCAGCTGATAGAAGAAAACGGTAGGATTGTGTTTAGTCGGCCATTCAGATAACTCGCAGCCTTGTTGTCATACGATATTAATTCACCAATATTTGACGCCGTAACATTCTCGTGGTGGTAGGTACCTAAAATTATTATATTTGATGCTTCTTCATTGAATAACAAATATTTTTTCACGATTATGGCAGATTATATTGACTGTATACAATTGTATATGTATGTATAAAATATATCGGTAATCTGCTATTCTCTTGGAACAATACACAGTATTCAACGGGTTATCATTAAATAATTGTCTTGCATTGAGGACAGTAGTCTAAACTTTTATATGGGTTCACAAATAGTCGCATATATTCTTTGCAATTTGATGAAATCCTCTTTGGGTAATTGGAATGAGGTTTAAATCACTTCTTTGCCTGTTTTGTGTTTAGAGTGTCGGAGACTTGCTGAAAGAGCTTTTAAAACTCGAGACAAATATTGTACATGTTTGTTATTGAGATGTTTTTTTTCTCCACAGATACAATGGTGACCGCGATCTTATGGGTGGTGAACCTTACGCTAGGCTACTGTCCGGACGACCTCCTCAGCGAGGTGTTTACGTGTCTCCACAACCTCACGTACGGTAGCGGCGATAGCATGCTCATCACGGGCGCAGACGCAGATCGCATGCAACGTCACTGCCGGTAAATCTGCCTTTTTGTATGCCTGTTCCGGGTACATAGGATCTTCTTTTGTAGATTTCAGTTTCTTTCATGTTAACGATGTCACCATCTTAACCTTGCTATTTGTTGTCACCATCATAACTTAGCTGGTTTGTTGTCACTATCATAACTTAGCTGGTTTGTTGTCACCATCATAACTTAGATGTTTGTTGCCACTATCATAAACTAGGTGTTTGTTGTCACTATCATAACTTAGCTGGTTTGTTGTCACCAACATAACTTATCTGTTTGTTGCCACTATCATAAACTAGGTGTTTGTTGTCACTATCATAACTTAGCTGTTTGTTGTCACCATCATAACTTAGCTGTTTGTTGTCACCATCATAACTTAGCTGGTTTGTTGTCACCATCATAACTTAGCTGGTTTGTTGTCACTATCATAAACTAGGTGTTTGTTGTCACTATCATAACTTAGCTGGTTTGTTGTCACCAACATAACTTAGATGTTTGTTGTCACCATTATAACTTAGCTGTTTGTTGTCACCATCATCACTTAGCTGGGTTGTTGTCACCATCATAATTTAGCTGTTTGTTGTCACCATCATAACTTAGCTGGTTTGTTGTCACCAACATAACTTAGCTGGTTTGTTGTCACCATCATAACTTAGCTGTTTGTTGTCACCCTCATCACTTAGCTGGGTTGTTGTCCCCATCATAATTTAGCTGTTTGATGTCACCATCATAACTTGGCAGTTTGTTGTCACCATTATTACCAAGCTGGGAGGGGGGGGGGGGGGCATATAGTGTTGCCCATGTCCGTCCCGTCCCGTCCCGTCCCGCCCCCTCCCAATTCAATGTAAACACCCGTCGCGTCCCGTCCCGAGTCAATGTAAACAATTAGCAACTTCATTCTTTGACAGAATTTGGTCAAACTTTATACAAAGGTCTAGTATGAGTATACTTCGTACATCTTTGTGTTTCAGGGATCCAAGGTCAAGGTCAAGGTCACTGTTGCTATATATAGAAAATGATCAACTAATTCAATTTAAATACTTAGCAACTTCATTCTTTCATGGATTTTGGTGAAATATTATGCAAAGGTCAAGTATGAGTGTACTTCGGACATTGTTGTGTTACAGGGTTCCAATATCAAGGCCAAGGTCACTGTTGCTATGGTAATAACATACAGAAAAAAACCATAGGAATATTAAAATCAATTTATCAACTTTAAGTGAAGTACCTAATTGTGTGTGTGCATGTTTCAGGGTATCAAGAACAAAGTGGTTGTAACTTTTTATAGAACACTGAAACTAATTTCACATGGCAGCGGGGGCTTTTATGTCTTACAGACATTTTCTAGTTTTCTAGTAGATCCTACATCATTATTTCTAGATTGTTTGCTCGTGTGTGATAGGTTCAGAATTCCATATTCAACAGTTATGCATTTGTTTATACTAAGACAGACTACCTTGCTATTCAGTTTCAGATGTTTTCGATGTGGTGGATTAACGCCGTTGTGTCTATCTGTTCAAAGGGACAATTTAATGATAACCTTTGTCAAAAAACTCTTCATGATTATATAGTTTGATACTCCCTAGGAACAATTCATGTCGAGAAATTGACAAGAGACAATGGTTTCTTTGCGTTTTTAATCGGTAATGGAGAAATCCGTAACTATACAGCCGTCTAGCTAACAAAAATGTCTTTCCAGCCGAGGAGAGCAAGTAGCTTCTCGCTTTATTCGCCTTGCCTCTTTGAATACAAGGATATGCATCTATTCTGAAACAAAATCATCTCCAACATCACCTAAAACATCGTTATAAATGAGTGATCTATTTTACGTTTAAACCTATTGATATCGTACTTTCTGTTCATTTTTATTCAAATCCAAATGTGAACAGCAATATCTGATTAGAGGTATATATTATGATACTAATAATTCTTACTCGCGATGTATTGCGTTAATTCAAGAAGGTGTTATGTGTGAACTCAGACTCATAACTGACACGGTGTTGTCGATGCTGTACATGTTTACTTGTCACTGAAAGGCCCGGATATTGTGCTATTCGGTCGTAGCTATTTTTATCACTGGCTTTCCCAAAAGATGAAACTGACTACACTGGACGTTGGCTTCAGGTGTTGTCATTATCAACTATGTAAACTTTTGTTAGGAGATACATATTTTCAGTATCGACTTTTCAGGTAATCAAAGATTCTTACGTCACTAAATTGTCCCTTTAATGCATTTTTTCAAACATTTGATTTAAATATTTCGAAAAGAATAATTTGCTTTCAAAGTTTATAGCCTGTCACTGTTGCTTGTCTTTACACGGTCACTCTTGTATGGTACTTAAATTACTGATATCGATTCCATTTGGAAGCGCACTTGTAGTCAGACGAACCTACAACTTGCATTGTTTGTTTGCTTGTATTGATTCTCTTACACAATGTAAAGACTAAAACCGTTTTATTTTCTTAACAGACACGGTGATCTAGACGATTCAGTTGATTGCCTTAACAAGATATATAGCCAATGTACCAGTCCGAGGGACTTCGAAAGGTTACGTAAATTCGCCGACCCGGACGCATGGAGGTCGGGGTTCCAAAGATTTTGCAGTAATACAGATTGTAAGTGGCCATACCTTTTGTTGTGTATACATTAGCTCGAATGATCAAAAAGTCAATCAAAAAATCGTTTTTGACACAATTGACTATCAGCAAACACTGTTGTCATGGCTAGAATGTTCCCATGGCAACGGTTTGTTATTTTCACTAACCTGTGTTGTGACAACTGATTGCTGTTATATACGATATGTTGGTGACAACTCAGATCTGAGCATTGCATCTAGACTTCATTCATGGTAATGACAACGCAAATGTTGAAATATAGAATAAACATGTGGTACAAAGCTTTGATTCCATGTAATGCTATTTTGGCTGTTTCTTAAAATGGGGAACTATTTAAACTGCGTTTTCAAGAGAGCATTTCGTGGCAGTGTTAAATTCGCCGATTACACTGTCCATGAATATTCCTTTGTGTATAGAACCAATACCGTTGTGTCTGTGGCAACATATACACATAGTTATGACTACATAGGTTTAGCCATATCAACGCAAGTGTGGCCATAGAAACTCGTGCTGTCACTATGGGAATACATAATGGTGCTATGACAACACTTGATAATCTCGTTATGACAGCAGTACAACATCGTGGTGTATTCCGTAAAGTAAAATATTGTACAGTCGCATGATAGTCACACTACGCGTTTGCATATTACGATTTATTACAACAAGGGGAGAAATACTTCTACTCTCATTGATCTGGTGACATACCGACTCGCACGATTCACATTCCGACCGACACTCGTGCTCACGCTCCGTTACTGTAAACAACACAAGACGCACGCCCTGTAATTGTTACTGTACATTGTGCCACACAAAACATACGCCTCTGTGTCACACAAAACACACGCCTCCCGACGTGCTAGTCTAATGATGTCAGATTCATGTACCACTCATCGCGACCAGATGCATCCTGGGAAGTTGCACGTGTTTCACGTCGCGACTCCCGGATTTTATGGCGAGAAATATTGCCACTTATCCGAAACAATTGTACGTAGGTCTATAAAGCACGTGCTGTTATTCATACACGTGCAGAGGAGACACGTCCTACGCCCCAATCACGGAGAGGTATTATTACTCGACCACCACAAGGGGCTAAGTACTTGTCAATTATAATAAAGATCTACGCGTAGATTTCTGTGATTTTTTCACGTCACCTTGTATGCAATTTTACTGATCTACAACTGTATAACCAAAATCTGTTTCCATTCAATTTGGCATATCATTGTGCACATGTATGTAGCTCTCAAAGCGTTGGCCGACCGGGAAAGTACACTGTACATTTGTATGACTCTCTCCAACCACAGGCAAACTGGGATATATTGCACATATGTAGGCTTATAGTCAAAGACACATGTAGTTATTGGTAATCAGTTTCTATATGACATGTTCCACCTATTATAAACAGAGACCTCGTTTGAAACAAGTCCTAGGATGTTATGAGTCATCATTTGCTAATATGTCATTTGACTTTAAACAGTCAGTTGTACATGCTACATTGTTTCGCATTTGGTATATTTTACATAAGTTTATCATAAGTTTATAAATTAGATACTGTTTTGAATTTAGAACCTATTACAATAATGTATTAACGGTGACATGGAGACTACATAAATGAATCTAACTTCATTCGGTTGCGGTTCATGTTGTTGTTTTTCCTTTTCTTTCGGATTCTCTTTTCGGGGTTTTTCCGTATTTTTTTTTAGATTGTGTTTCGATTTAGAGCTTTCTTTTGTTTGATGTTAAATTCTGACTTCTCTACGAATCAATGTGATTATCTTTCCTATTTAATTTAAATGTGACACCCCTACACATAAATAATGACGTCACTAACTAACTGTTATCGTAATTATGTTTTAAGTTTGCTCTGATAATTATTTTTTTCATCCTGTACCTCTGTGTCCACATTTGCTTCACATTATGCATTTTGTGTCAAGCCAAAAGAAACATTTTCACGACATTATTTCACTCCTTGCAGTCTATGTGGAGCGGCGGACATGCGTTACAAAACTAGACAAGGAGCTGGAAAAGTGTATAAAACGGCACGAGGATTTCACCCTACAATCAACCGAAAAAATGGCCTCTTATTCTCACGATCAAATAGAGGAACGCGAAAATCACAGGATAGAACAAATCTGCCGGTGAGTACTTTCCTTTGTCGGCCTTTTCTGATAATCACCCAGTAGCCTACGCAATGTCACATTCGGGTTTTGTCAATGGAATAACGGTTACAACATAATTTGACATCATTGGCTAAATGTATTACCAATATTAATGACATAATTAATTTACAATACTAATGTCCATCCTGTTCCACCATGTATTATTGTCACCCATTTGTATATATGTATTCTCTACACTGTATTGTTTATGAGAATAAAACCATTGCCATTGGTTCTCTCTCCATCATGGGGAATGGGACAGAAAATACAACTCAAACAGCATTCCTAGCTCTGCCCTAGGCTCCCTGAGGCTAAATATTTGTATGTAATAAACGCTTATTTTTCTTCCGACCCAATGCAGGATGTTTTACCGAAAAGATATACCAGTCTATAGTATGACGTTATCTGGTTATAAAATGCAATATTTAAGTGTATGATGGTGGTGTATTTGGGTGTTGACCGGAAAATCACGTAAGCAGGAAAATCACAGATGAATACGTCCAGTCTGAAAGAAAATGTGATAATGGGAAATCTGTACTTTTAAAAACCAAACTAGTAACAATTATACCGATTTTTTGTTCTTTTCATTCACAGGTTTTTCCATGGGGCGAATCAATGTTTGAATTCGGACATCGGGTCTAAGTGCGGCCCGGAGATTAGTGCCATCCTATCGGACTTTGCAGGGGGTATAATGCCGCCTGTATGCAGGGGATTTACATTTGACACTTCGTCAGCATCACAGATTGAATTATCTTCTCTTGGATTTATTTTTATTTTCGCGCTTTTAATATTTCATAAATGTTTGGTATAGTCTTGACGCTTTTGTTCGTGATATAAACACCCCGACGGATTTATTTTTCTACACCATGACTGTCATCTTTTCTTCACCTAGAATTTGGGACCCTTTGCTCAAAGTCAACTGGGACCATTGAATTGGCTGATGTCATGCCTTCATCAGTATCTGTTTTACGTCTCTGTGTTGGAAATTATTTTTCGGATTTGAAACTGATGAATTCTCCTGGTGTTCATATCATGGGAAATGTGTGATTGTTACGTGACACAGATATTGATGTCTTTTTCACTTCAAATGATGTTGTTTCGTGGGAAATTTACATCCGACTTTTCTTCAAAATGGAAGTTTTTGTGAAAGGATACCCGTTTTCAAATGGATACACGGCTACGAGGTTACACGTAGAACACGGATACACCAAGTGCTGGTTTAAAGTTGAGGTGGCTGAACATGTTATTGTGATAGATATACTCACCACGCGTAATGTATTCGCGTCAATCTGGATGCTAATAGCTGTAAATAATGAAGTGTTGCACAGTTAAATGGGTGATTAGAAACGCATGCAATATTTTTCCATGTTAAATGATTTTTTTTTTTAAATGCAAACGATATCAAAGTTGCTACCCGGACGTGTTTATTTCATGTCGATATGTCAATTTCATCATCTTGTCAGAAACACGACGGCCGTGATTGGTTTAAAAACGGAATCATGAAACTGAATACTGTAGCTTTCCGGAAATCACCGAATATTGAACTTATTGTCTTACGGAAATAAACTAGTTACTGTATCGCCTTAGACCGGACGTTGCTCAAGGGAAACAAAAAGGCTAAAATAGTTTTTGATTTCCGGATATATTAGAACATAATTGGTATCAACTTCCGGCGGATGTGGCTGCACCGGAAACGAATGCAAGGTATGCTGGCAGTGTTTATAGGTTTGCAGGTTTTCCTTTTGAATGAAACTAGTCATTCGAAACAAGCGTTTCTTTTCGATAATTATAAAATTTACGACAATATTCCGAAAACCCCCAGACATGACTGCAATATGTGAACCAGCAAATGCTTTGAGATAAGAAATATTGTAGTTTCAAGTTTTCGTTTGCTTTTGTTAAGTTTAAACCATATATCTTTATTATGAAATTAATACAAATATTAAGGTAAAGATATCGAAAGTGTCCCAAAACTTGCTAGTGTGGTAATTTTGGAAATTCTTTGTTTTCACATTTAAATATCAAAACACATCCTGTTATATTTTCAAAACATTTTTATGGAAAACAACCCACGCGTTAACGCGTCAATAGCAACAATTCCCGACTAGTTCGGCGAACAGCTGTAGATATCATTACAAAGAGCAGAGGTCACGTGTACTGTTAACTTGTGTGATTTTTTAGGATTTCTGAAATGTACATACGCGTATGATTAAGTGCTACAACTGATACAAAAACTCTGTGCTGTTCGGTATATGTTTGACAATATACATCAGTTGATTGCATTCAAGGGCCATTCCTCTATCATGTAAAACGTTTGTTTACGATTAGAATGGGCGCCCCAATCTCTTCTCTCTTAATAGCTGTCATATCTTTCAACTTTCTAATTCACCAGGCAGAATCAAATTATTTCAAAAGTTTGGTGGGCTTTATTTGTTTCAATAAAAATTCAATGAAAAAACCCTCTATAAATTAATGTATTTGATGATATAAAACTGTATAAGTAAATTATGTATACATTTTCTAATTTGTAGATGCTAATTAAAATTGGAGTAGGTCTATATACTCCGAGAAGAACTAATAGTTTTTAAAATAATGCTCAAGCTGACTATACTTTAAACTGACGTCCATTTTTTTACATACGGAACTCTCATTAACACTCGACACGCGTACAGCTCTAGTTTACTTCTAAGGCTCACGTGCACTGTACCTACATGAATATAGACAAGAAATTTGTTCGTTTCATTTTTAAAAGTTCCTTTTTCTAGTTGTGTAATGATATAACCTCCTCCTGCACTCTTGTATACTACATACCGATGCGCCCTACTGAAGGAAACAAATGCGTTGCTTTTCAACACATGTTTGACCGATGGTTAAAACTAAATTGACACGTTTTTTTACTCTGTTTATAGTTATTCGTGTTTTGTACATCTGTAACGCCGAATGTTGCTCAAATCGTTAAGAAGAGTACAATTCAAACATGTATTTTTGATTTCTTAATAAGAAAATAAGATCACAGAGAGCAAACACTAGCGCTTTTTAGTGTTTGTTTTATATTCAATCTAGGTGGATAGTTTGACGAACGAAGTATTGGAGAGTGGCATATTGGAGTCCCCTGAACGAACCATGTTGTCTGAGCATTGGCAAATCATCAAAATGAAACATTCGTGATTCATCGAGCCTTTCCGTGATATTTCCAACAAGCACGATTCCAGGACGGTTTCTCCAAGAAAATGAACATCGAATCTCCTCTTTTGAGCAGGAGAAGTTGAATCTAACCGTTTTCTTTGTTGAAGATTCCTTCCTTTTCGATGGCATTCAATACCCCATCAAGGAATGCAAACGCTATGGACGAAAAACTGTTCAAGTAGGAATGAAAAAAAATATTTAAAGTTAATTTAGTTTTACAAAAATGACGAAGCAAGTTATAAACTGATCACGTTTGCTGACCTCGATGAAATGCTGACCCCAATGGAAGCATGCAGGGAGTCTTCAGGATCCTACTTCAGGATCCCTACTCCTACTTCAGGATCCCTACTTCAGGATCCCTACAGCACTGCCAACAACTGTAACAATGCACTTGTATTTTCCCCGGCATCTTTAATGAGTCATTTCTAAAACAACATACTAAATTGTCAGTAGAGCGACAAGGATTCTTAACACCGGAAGACATCAGAGTAAGGAGAGAAAACCAACGTTATCGGGTAGGTGGCTGCCAAAGTTCAATTCGGAAATCGAACCCCGGCCGTATTGGTGAAATGCGAATACGCTAGCTACTGCGCCAACGACCTACCATTTCCATTTTGTGCGTTCAGTATTTACAGTTAGAGAGTTACGCACGTGCGTTATATTGACTGTGAATATGTCTGTAGCAATCCAATTATAAGGTCAATTTGTTTCCGGATGAACTCAAAGGTCAAATTTCAGACATATCTCGGGTGAGGCCACGTCACGCAAAGTTATGTCAACACGTGTTTGCCCATCCTTTGCGCCAGCTATACGACCGATGGACCATGGAATGTATTAAATAACGTCTGGTAGAAACTATCACCTGTGAAACAGCTGCTCCCCAACAAGCACAGGTGTGGAACCTCCATATTTTTGTCTACAGGTTGTTGTCAAATTCCAAGTTTTATTTGGTAAATGGCATACATGTTTCCTTACAGAAAAAACGTCGATTGTTCGTGGAAATGTTTATAAAAGCATGAAAAAACCCGTTCAATCCGTATACTGACGTACTAAAGTTTCAGTCATTAGCCATTAAATTATGTGAGTGCACAACAGCACTCCAAATGTCTGTCACATGAGCGTTTGCTTCGAAGCCATATGGAATGTTATGTTAAGCGTCAAGCGTTACATTAACAAGTGATTACCAAAGTTACGTACCGGGGTGACATTTTAGTGGTTATAACATTAGGATTAGATATTTGAGCTCATTTGCCCGAAAGACAAGTGAGCTTATGTCGTGGCGCAGCGTTCTTCATCCGTCCGTCGTTTTCAATTTTATATTTACGGAGGTATAACCCCTGGGGGCAGGGGGGCTGGACCCAATAGGGGAACTAAAGGTTAATATTTCTCCTTTGGTTTGGTTGGAGAGATTTCAACCAAATTTGGTAAAGAGCATCATTTGGCACAGGGGACTCAATGTTCTATAAAAAGAGAGTATGGGCCCCCATGAGAGCAGAGGGGCTGGACCCAATATGGAGAACATAGTGATAAATGTTTATAATCCGCTTCTTCAGCTTGATTGGAGGGATTTGGCCGAATTTTATGTAGATCATCCTTTGGTAAAGGGGACTCAATTTTGTATGAACGGAGGTTGTGGCCCCCTTGAGGGTGTCTCGATTTTGTATAAACTGATAGTGTGGCACACACTATCAGTTTATACAAAATCGAGACACCTTTGCCATGGATGCTCAACACCAAAATCTGTTTAAAAACTTATGGAGAAGGTACTCCCTATTGGGTTTCCCCCCTTTTTTTGGGGCAGAGGGACGGGGTCCAATAGGGGAAATAAAGGTCAATCCTTCTTCTTTATATGTTTGATTGGAAGGACTTAAACAAATATTGGTCCAGAGCATTCTTAGGAAAGGGGGACCACATTTTGTATACTAGTAAACGCAGATTTTAAACAAGTGTTGTGTTGAGCATCCTTGGGAAAGGGGGTCACACATTTGTATTTACATAGGGTGTACCCGCACAAAGTCCCCCATCCTCTTTGGCAAAGAAGTGGGTCTCAATAAGGGCAATTACGGTAAATCTGTCTTCTTCTGTGAATTAGTCAAGAGCATACTTGGGAAAGGGGAACCAAATTTTGTATAAACGGAGAGTGTGACCCCCCTGAGGGCAGAGGGGCTGGGCCCAATAGGAGTTACTTAACCACAACTTGTTTCGAGCGTCCTTGGGCAACGGGGATTCAATATTGTATAAACGGAGAGTGTTGCAGAGGATTGGGACCCAAAGGGAGAAACTTCTCCATTAGATTTAAAATAAAGTTTGTGTAGAGCATCCATGGGCAAAGGGAGCTCATCCAGGAGAAATTAAGATAACTCTTTATAATCCTTCGTTTTCTTTTAGATTAGGAGGACTTTAACCTAAATTTGTGCAGAGCTGCCTTTGGCAAAGGGGAACCAACTTTCGTATAAACGGAGAGTGTGGCCCCCATGGGGGCAGAGGGGCGTGGCCCAAAAGAGGGCATTAAACCAATTTTGTTGGAGCATCATCGAGCAACTGGAAGTCAATTTTGTATAGACAGATAAACCGATGTGTGATTTTCGTAGAGCCTCTTTTGGGAAAAATAAGACTCATTTTTATATAAACGAAGGGTGTTGTCCCCTCGAGACAATCCCAATGAAGGACTGGGGGTTGCTGAGAGACGGAGCCAATATTTTGAAATAGTTGCAGTAATATATAGAATGACAATTTTTTTTCAATGGTTGCTTAATATTCATGGTGAGTGATTCAGGCCCTCTGAGCCTCTTATAATCTATAGCGAGTATGCATAGGAGTGTAGATATGAGGATTTGCTGCTGCATTTTTGGATTACTTTATGACATTCGATCGATACATTTTTTTCAATGGTTATGGCCCTGCATAACGGGTAAGCTGCTGGCAGGGTTCGGGAAGTGTCACAAAGAGTCTAATTGGACATGTATACTGTACCAGACCGCGGACTGGCTACCACCATTGGTCACTGGGCACCAAGACCAGTCACAAGAAACTTTTTTTTATTTTTAATGTAAGGCACTGCGTAGTTTTTTTTTGGGCGGTTGAAATTCCAGCCCTATAAAAATAACACCAGAAAATGTTAATTTGATTGTTAAATAATAGACATTAGCTACGATGGAGTCGATAAAATGTTAATTTTGATAAAGACCGTCTTTTCCCAAAACAAACGGTTTTTTTCGATGTTTGTAAATTCTGAAGCAACCCTTTAATTATGTCGTTTAAAAATGAACATTTTTTGTTAGATAGTTGTTGAAAAGTATACAGTATATTGATTAATTTTAAAGCGCGTTAGTCACAGCCTGTTCTGCATTGCAAATAGTTTGTGTAAATGGAGTCTATTTAAAGCAGAATTCTTTAGTAAAACGTCGCAGTACAGACGTTTTCCGGAAGGAAAGTAGACCAACTATGGATTTCGCCCTGTGGTGTAGACACTTTTATACCGGAATACTGCACAGGATGGCCAATATAAACCGATATGCTTATTATTTCCAATGGTCTTTTCAATTGTTGTATGACTGACTTTTATGTATGTGGTGGTTATTGTACAATCTTACTGTTGATAAATATCATTGATATCTGTATCATGTATGCATTTTGACAAGTGAACGCGAATGAAAGAAGGGCAGAGAGAGAGAGAGAGAGAGAGAGAGAGAGAGAGAGAGAGAGCTCCCGAGATACCGTAGTTGTGGGGGTGTCTCACTGGTCAAAAGACCAACGTTATGGGGATAGTTCAGTTTTGTGGGGAACGAGATTGTTCCCCACAATTCGAGAGCGTCATTTTCGGATTCTCGGGCACCGAAATTAGTTTGAATACGCAACTACCTAATGTTACTAAAAATAGACACAACGACTTCGTGCAATTTCTCACACCACCGCTCAGCACACGGTTGAGAATCATGGGTAATTTTACGTTCTATATCCCTCNGAATGAAAGGGGATTGAAAAACGTGAAATTGGATCACTTGCGTTAGTTTAGACGGAAGGGAGTTTAAATTACATTCAAAATAAAAATAAATTATTTGCATTTATAGTTTTTGTTTTTCTTTACATGAATAAGAAGCGACACTACTCATGCAGTCCATGTTACGTATGACATAATTTGTAGGGGATGAGTATGACACGTGCTTTAGCTCTGCTAGCCTGAAGGCCTAAGTGAGCTTATGCCAATGTGTAGCGTGCGTCCGTCCGGCGTCAACGTTTTCCTCGACTTGACTTCTTCTAAATAAGCAATAGGTCAATGGCGTTGGTATTTGATCAATAGCAAGCAGTGATAAAAGATTAAAAAAGTTTGATAAAATGAGTGACCTTGACCCACTTTCAAAGTCACTAGAATCAAATATGTTAACATTTATTTCTTCTGAATAAACAAACAGCCCAAGTTGATGATATTTGGCCAGTAGCAAGCTGGGATGAGGGGCTACAACATTCTACAAAGTTTGTCCAAATGAACGACCTCGACCCCATTTCAAGGTCACAGGGGTCCATTGATCCTCTTGTTTAGTTTTCAATTATGTATGAAATTTGTTAATTTTTGATGTCTATGACTATGTTATGAATGACACGGTGTCTAAACGTCTGTTGATATTTTGTCTGTGTTACGTACATGAATGACGTCGAGGTTACATATGAAGTTGTCCGGGTCACGTGCGCGGATGACATGTGTTGCCTAGGTAGCCGATAACACAAATTGTCTAGTATCGTATGACATTGTCTAAAATACGTATGACATTGTCAAAATTACCAATGACGTCAAGATTTCGCATAATATTGGTTTAGTTACGTATGACGTTGCTAAGCTTACGAATGGCGTTTCTAGATTACGTATGACGTTGTATAGGCTATGTATGACGTGTTAGATACGTATGACGTTGTAAGGTTACTTATGCCGTTGTCTAGGTCACATAGATGTATGACATATGCCGCCTATTTCAGGGATAAGCATTTGGTGTCTAGGTTATTATGAACTGGTTTATGTTACGTACTTGTGGTTCATATGTTACCTGGGTTACGCATGAAGCTGTCTTAAGTTACGTACGAGTTTTGTCCGGGTCACGTACATTTATGACATAGTTTGCCTAAGCTACGTACAGCACGGGTTGTCTAGTATACGTTTGGCGTTTTCTAGTTTACGTATATCGCAAAGGTTACTTTAGACCTTTTCTATGTCACAAAGGACGTTGTCCGGGTCATGTACATATGACATAAATTGCCTTTGTTATGGATTATACGTGTTTAGGTGACGTATCTCGATACTCTAGGAATAACACGAAGAAAGATGTTTGATTGGTTTCAGGTGAAAAAACTCCTGACCAGTTGCTAGTCTCATACCTATCCTTTGAAGCAAAGCAAGTCAATTGTTACGTTACCGTTACGCGACCACGATATTCTTTTGATGTACATCAAAGGATCGAACAAGTCGTCAACAAGGTGGCGCACACTGAACCTTCAATTTTGCTATGACATATTACAGGGGTGCATAGAGCGAACGTGAGCATATTTCCTGGAGTATCAAGGATGATGTGTTTGACACATAAATGTTTATTCCAGGATAATTATGATACATAAAAATGTCGGATGATTTTCCAGTATGTAATAACAATTTCAATATATTACTAAGTATTGAACTCGTGTGGCATAGGGAGGGCACCATTTTGAAAAAAGACACCGGATTCTTTTTTCTTTTCTCGCATACATGATCAATCAAGGTAAATGTAAGTCAAGTATATACTCAAATCAATCAGTAAAATGTTCAACTGATATGAAACAAATGAAAACCTCCAACCTTTAACTAATGGTTAATATAACAGAATTAAGTATAGATGTGCGGACATATCTGTACATGAACGACACATGGGAAGTAACTCTAAATGTCTATTACAACGCCAACCATTTACAATTAGTTTTAGCTAACATGGCCCGAAGGACCAGTAACATGACGGGATAAATTGCGACAAAGTTTGTTCAAATGAATGACCTTGAATTATATTCAATAATAACTTAAATAACACCATTTTCATTTCGTTTAAAGTGTGTTATTGATGATAAACTGTGATGAAAATAATCAATGTTTTTGGAAAACATGTAAGGAACATCAAGCGATTTTTGTTGGTTTCGATGATGCAAATTCTTGCTAAACGGGATAACAGTGTATGGACGTATGTGAGTGTGATTATTTCAATCGTATCCCTGCAGGTAGGGCGTAAGAAGTATACCTGCTGCCCCAATAGCATAATCGTAAGAGGCGACTAAAATTGGGATCTTATCTTTTCTCTTCTTTCCAAACAACTTTCTCCTTCCTTATGTTTCCCTTGACAATGCCTTACTTTTGGCTTTTAGTTGAGCGTTCGCCCCTGTGAGGACCGCTTTGGGTTCTATCCCCTGGTCGAGACATTCTACTCCTGCTTAACGCTCAGCAATTTAGGAGTGGGACGACTGGTAAAATGTGACCGGGTGGGGTGTTTCAGTGAGGTAGCACTATAAAGTCGGCATCAGTTCCGCGCTATCACAAGGATACAAACACGAACATATCGCAGCCTCCCAAAACACACACGCATACACTACACGCATACATCTTGCACACAGGGGAGGTCGTCCTTGAATGACCATAGCTGTTGATAGAACGTTGAACAATACTAAACAAAACAAAACCAAATTTCAGTCGTATGTAAACGATGTTCTTCTGGAACACTGATAAAATCGCATAACCAGATAAGATAACCAGACTTAATATAGTTATAAGTTTGTATGAAGCTGTATGGACAATGATGAAGCATTGTCTGCTTATAAACCCTCGGAGTTGCGTTCTTTTGAATGTAAAAGCTCATGTCCAGTCTGTATGTGTCCAGAATCAAAATATATCCTTGAGTATGTCATATTTTAAACGATGAATTCTTAAACCCCATTATGCTTTAAGCATCTATCACTATCTAAAGCTAGTTAACAACGAAAAGCCTCCCTTCATTAATTTATCTACTCTGGCACACACACAGCCAATGAAGTTGTGTTTATAGAGGAGAAAATATCCCTGTTTTAAATGTTATAGAGATACACAATAATTGATATGAATCAAACCGCGATGATAAAACATAAAATGTAGCCTACTTTCCGTGATATCATTTGGTCTGTTATTGACTACGATATTTTGACGACGTAACTACAAACATCGGCGTGATGTACAAGGTTCTAATTCTGACGTCATAAACAAGAGGCCCAATGAGCCTGCATCACTCATATGGTACTGATATCACAATTGTAACCTAAAAAAAGTACTAAAATAAATCTACAGACAAAATATCAGTGTCTTGACTTAAAAGTAATTCAAAAGAACACGTAAAAATATTTGAACATTAAGTTTAACAAACTTTACAGCCCTTCATTCCAGAATGCAACTTGCCAAATATCACCACCCTATAACTTTGTTCATCGGGTAGACGATTTTTAAAGTTTTTCTTTTCACAATTGACCGGATGTGACCTTGAAAGTGTGTCCTCCTGGACATTTTGTTTAAGAATAAATCGTTTAAGACACGGCAAAGGTCATTCACTTGAACAAACTTTGCACATGTGTAGCCCATGCATGCTTCTGGCAAAATACCATCACCCTTGTTATTTACATGTTTGAACCCATGTGACCTTGAATATTGTTGAAGGTCATTCATTCAAGACCAAGTTTATTAAAATTAGTGACCTTGACCTATATTCAAGGTGACATGGGTCAATTATCTAAAAACAAACTTTCAGACAACTTCTTTTAACATTAAAAACCCTTGAATATGGTTAAAGGTAACTCTTTTCAGACCAAATTGATTCAAATGAATGACCTTCGCAAATTTTCAAAGTTAAAGGGGTCAAATATTTCAAAAATTTTCAACAACTTCTGAGTAACCAGAAGGCCCATCATAGTGAAATTTGGCTAGTAACATGCTGAAATCAAGGGCTATCAAGATTGTTCAAATGAGTGATCTTGACCTGTATTCAATGTCATAGGGGACAAATATGTTGAAACCTTTAAACGACCTCTTAAGAATAACCAAAATGCCAAGGATGTTGATATTTGGCCAGTAACATGATTGGATTAAGGGCTTCAGTGTGAGGAAATCACTGAAACCGTTACAAAGGGAGAGAACTCTGTTATTTGTTTAAACTTTCATCAGACCAAAAAAGGTACACTGAAACACCTAGTGATAGCTGTAGACTGCTATGATGTTATGTCCCAACTGTGTTTTCTTACGGAAATTTTAAAAGCAATCGATAGCCAGTAAAATGTCATACGTTTCCATTATGTTTTATTTGACACTACACTTCCAATTGATAATTTATTAATTTTGGGACTATGACCTCCCCTGTAGGTTTGGGAAAATATAAACCTGCTGTCTATTTCCCCGTGTAGGTTCGGGAAAATATAAACCTGCTGTCTATGTCCCCCTGTAGGTTCTGGGAAATATAGGCCTGCTGTCTATGTCCCCCTGTAGGTTCGGGAAAATATAAACCTGCTGTCTATGTCCCCATGTAGGTTCGGGGAAATATAAACCTGCTGTCTATGTCCCCGAGTAGGTTCGGGGAAATATAGACCTGCTGTCTATGTCCCCCTGTAGGTTCTGGGAAATATAGGCCTGCTGTCTATGTCCCCCTGTAGGTTCGGGGAAATATAGACCTGCTGTCTATGTCCCCGTGTACGTTCTGGAAAATATAGACCTGCTGTCTATGTCCCCGTGTAGGTTCTGGGAAATATAGGCCTGCTGACTATGTCCCCCTGTAGGTTCGGGGAAATATAGAACTGCTGTTTGCAACCACATGTTACCATAGAAGCGTCTAATGCGGGGACCTCTGCACTTCTGCATCGATTCCATTGATTCACTTGGGACCTTTACCTTTTCTTTTCTCAGTTGCATACTCTCTTGGTTTACTCAAAAGCATAAAAAATATCAAAAACGTAAGTAGGTTTTGTTTTGTTAACCCACGAATTCAAGTCACCCTGCGTCCGTGGTCCGTCCGCCCGTCATTCTATCCGTCCGTCTTTCCGTCCTTCCGTCCTTAAACTTTTTTTTATTAGCGCTATTTCTTAGAAAGTACAAGAGGGATCTTTCTCATATTTCACATGAAGGTTTCCCATGGTCCCTAGTTATGTATATCCTTTTTTGGGACTAATCACAAAACCAATATGGCCGACAGCCAACCATCTTGAATTTGAAAGTTCAAGGTTTTTAGTGATATTTCTCAGAAGGAACTGGAAGCATCTTTCTCAAATTTCACATGAATGTTTTCAAAGGTTCTTAATAATGAATTACGAATGTAGGGACTGAAAGGAAAACCAAGATGACGTACAATTCGAGAGTTCAAGTTTGTTAGCGCTGTTTCTCATAAAGTACATGAAGATTTCCAATGGTTCCTTATTATGCATATCGTTTTTGGACTAATCAAAAACTGAGATGGCTGACTGTTATTCAGCCATTTTGAATTTGAGAGCTCAAGTTTGTTAGCGCTATTTCTCAGAAATAACTGGAAAGATCTTCCTCAAATTTGATATGTAGTCTCCCCTTGGTTTTTAGTTGTGCATGTTAACTTTCGAGGGTGATCAAAAGACTGATTAAGATGGTGGACAGGCGAACTGATCAAACAGATAAGAGAAAAGAAGAGAAAATATCAAACTGACATATAACTAATAAAGATGGTACAATGGTGGGCGCCAAGATCCCTCTGAGATCTCTTGTCATTTTCCTTTTATAAAAAACGATACGATAAGTTCTCCTATTTCACTAAAATCACTTAAATCTCTCCATCTGAGGGCTACTCCCTCTCAAAATAGGACTACTCCCTGCCAGAAAGAGGACTACTCCCTCATGAATATTTGAAGGCACAGCTTAAAAATTTCATTACAGCAGATTTTGGACGCTAAAAGGAGCTTTAACGCAAAAGCTGTTGTTAAGACTGCAGTGAATTTACTTCAAACTTATTTAACAAAACGGAATGCAGGAAGCGTCAACGATTACGGCCAAGCAATCACAGAGGACTTGTGTCCTCGCAAGTTTTATGCAGAACTTCAAAAAAGTGGATTGAACTTTTTATGATAGGAAATCAATGGTGACTACATTGTATCAGATACAGTCTACAAAAACACTTCTTGAATGCTAGAAATGACGATATCATCAACGACGATGCACATAGCACTTCCAATTGTAATAACGTTTTTCTCTTTGAAATTGTTTAAGGAAATGAATTGAAAAATCATTTTTCAAATTGCCTTAATTTGTTTTGTTATAATCAAACAGTTATAGAATGGGTAATTCGGGAAATAGCCAATATATTGTCACCCTCGGGAATTTCCTTTTACCTCGGGGGATCATAAATTTGCTATTTCCCTCATATACCATTCTATAACTGTACACTGTTATGAGTATGCAGTAAGGTCACGACCTTTTTGACACTTCTATGTTCCAGATATGTTACAGCGAAGGAAATGTATTCATTCTATTTGTAGAAAGACAATCCGAAATAGGTATAATCTAAATAAATGTATTAAACTGCTTTATTCAATGAAAAAAGACATGCAATGTTCCAAAAATTCCGTTGTCATTCAAAATATATTAATTTCATTGATTAAATAAGCCCAACATGTTACATAACAAGTGGTTATGTGTTACAATGAAGAGTAAATATGACATCATACATGTTGGATAGCTGACATGACTTAATAACAAACATGATACTTCACGGTAACATATACAATAACGAAAAGTTATTATGACGTCATCATATATAAAATACGTTGGAAAGTTAACATGACCTCATCATGAATGTAATACATGTGATAGTTAATATGACGTCATCATACATGTTATACTTTAGAAAGTGTCAAAATTATGATACATTCGACGACATCGTGCATGCAATATGCTGACAAGTTAACGTGACGTGACGTGATCAAACACGTTTCATTACTGTATCATTAACCAAACTTAATAATGTCGTGACGTCATCATGCATGTGGTACGTTGGCTAGTTTACGTGACCTCATTATACATGTGGTACATTGGATATGTTATAAATTTGATAACTAATGTGACGTCATTAAATACAAAAACATTATATAGAACGTTTTACGTCACCATTTATATTATATTGATATCTTAGAAATAAACTGATGATATACAAAACATGCATTATTCACATAATGTATCGTTCGATTTTTTTTTTTACCAAATCTTGATAGTCAAGATGATAATTAACTTGATATCTATTGTAACATCGACAAACATGTATTACATTTGATTGTTAACATGACGTGATCATATATTTGGAAAAAAACACCCAGATATTATACAAAATATGTATTATTTACATGTGAATATTTTTATAAGATATAATAAAAATATTTTTGTTAGTTTCATAAATGTACTTTTAGATAACCTGATAGTCATTTGATGGTAAACCTGATAGTAAATTGACGAATCTATCTTGTTCTTACGACTTTAATATACGAGGCCTAGCTTTCGCTTGAAAACAACGCATTTAACTCTTTATTATTGCTGCGTTTCCCCGTGAAAACAAGACGAAGACAAGTTGTGAGACTTCGTAAACGTCATATTTATCCACTTATGTATTGAGTAATTACGATATGAATAAGTTTATTGGTTTTTGTAGCTGAACCTGACTGAGCATCGCCAACTACAGTTCTACATCTCGCCTGATGAATGATGTGACGTACATCAACCGTTTTTTTGTATTTCGGGAACCCATTCCTACATACATTGTACATATTGCCATCTCTTTGAAATTGAGTGCATAAGTATAACGGACAGTGTGACGCTTGCTATCACGTGACTGTCACGTGCATTGCTGACATGCGCTGTGGATGTCGGGTCTCTGTGGTCATATCCTTGACATATTGGTGGTGTGATTCCTCGTAGGAAGTTACCGATGACATCACCCGTCTGTCGTCCGCACGCTCTTGTTACGGGGCCCGTGCTGCACTCGTACGTAGTCTGGAAATTTCTACAACGATATAAATAAAATAAGTATTTTCATTTTGTATTTTCTCTTATTTAAAGATAGACATGCGCATGATCCCCGTATGTTGGCGTATCACGTATGACGTATGACTAACGAGCTTTCCCTGATGTTCTCTGGATGCCGCTCGGATTCTATAAGGTTAACTCAGTCTGATATAAATGTCGAGGGTTCATTTGACCTGTCAATCGGGTGTACACGTCCTCCAGACTATCCAACAGTCTTCTCAATATTTCCCTAACGACAGCATATATGTAGATTGTACATATACTATTTTGGACGCTTGGTTACTTCCGCTTTATAAGAAAAATACGATGGTTCTAGCATTGTACATACATGTTTATCCTTCTTTTTGATTCCATGTACTTTTAATTTTAATTCTTATACCCTTAGAAACATTAATAGACAACATGGTCACGATAGAAAAAACTGGACACTTACTTTGTGTCACATGCGCTATACCTTTACCTGCATACTGTATGTACAGGTCCGAGTGGTACCAATGTTTTCTTTGAGTCCTCGTGACATGCGTGCACTATCTGCTCCTGATCGGAAATACATCTGCTGTTTGATCTATATACTGTGAATATAAAACATGTTCAAATTATGAAAACGGGAATTCCAATACCAATAATTGTTTTGTCAGCGTCCGTGTCGATTATATATCTGTGTTTAAAGATTTGCTTTACTCTTGTCTAGACCATCACTGTCCAGAGAAACCAACCGATACTCCATAATTACAGAGAACCAATTTTATTATCAACCCGTAGTTAAGTAGATGATCTGAATATACTTTCTGATAATTAATTATCAAATTAATGTTGTGAACACATGTAATTACTCTTATTTGTTATTTATTCATGATTTATTTTATTCAATAACCACTTAGATAATTCATTATTTTATTACATTATTACCAGTAAACTATTGATTAAACTAATTATTCACTCTACATATAGTGAAAAATATCACTTTTTCTGATTTGACCAATCAAAACACTGCTTACAAACTGCAATGGGAAACATTACAATCTTCCCATCTGGTCAAATGCTGGTTAGCTTAACGATACGCAGGCTTCGCGAAAATGCGCCCGATTTACTGCCCAGAATTATCACATCTGTTACCTTTCATTGGGAACTATTCTCTGGGGGAAACACAACGTTTAGTTCCTCAGTTTACTTCCATTATAAGGAAGCAAGCAGACTATGCAGGTCAGCAATTATATCTGTTTGATCGGATGCAACTTATGTCCAATGAAACACAGTGTCAGCGTCTCAAGTCCAAAGTTAGGATGAGCGATTAGGAGAAAGTATAAGAGGACAATATCTGACAGTGATAGTGATAAGTATAACTCACATAGGCGGTGATGATATTTGACCATCAGGATAAGTGGTGACACAATGCCCACTCCCCACCATTTTAGATTCGGCGCTTATCAACAACGCGTAGTGATCTGAGTTGATGCCGGAACTTTTTTCAATTACATTATGATAGTTATTTGGTATGCTTTATTAAAACCAGAGACCCAAAGGGCCTGTATCGATCACCTGGATATCTAAGCAATCATGGCAAAATATTCTCCAAATGAGATCCAAGGGAATATGCCAGACCCCTAGGTCAATCCTTGTAGCATATCTGTATTAGATTTTTCATGCCAAGCAATTTTATGTGTGGTTATGGGGTGGGGATCTCAACTGTTTCCAAGCTGTGACTTAGAAACCAGGTCCCTAGGGTTGTGGCCAGACTCCAGGATCAATTTTAATATCATGACTGCATTTGTCTCTTTTTGCCCAGCATTTGTATATATAGTTTTGGGGTGGGGATCTCAACCGTTTCAAAGATATGATCCAGGGGTTAAGTCTCCAAGGGCGGGGAAGATCCCAAGGCCATCCTGGAAGCATATGTGCATTCATCTCTTTATAATCAGCAATTGTATACATGGTTATAGGGTGGGGATCTCAACTGTTTCCCAGCTGTGACTAAGAAACTTGGTCCCAATGGGTTCGGTCAGACCTCAGAGTCTATTCTAATATCATGACTGCATTCGTGTCTTTATGCCCATCATTTGTATATATAGTTTTGGGGTGTGGATCTCAACCGTTTTAAAGTTATGGCCCAGGGACTACATGTATGTCTCCAAGGGTGAGGCCAGACTCTAGAGCCATCCTGGAAGCAAATGTGCATTCTTCTCTTTATACTCAGCAATTGTATATATGGTTATATGGTGGGGATCTCAACTATTTCCAAGTAATAAACTTTTTTGGCCCCACCCCAGTGCATAGTTCTACAGAAGAAGTCGTTTATAGCAATATAGTAAAATTGTCCCCTTTTAGCCCCGCCCCTCAGCCCCCTGGTGGGTCAGCCCAAACATTTGTACAATTTTGAATCCCCAACACCTAGGGGTGCTTCTAGTCAAGTATGGTTGATATCCAGTGCATAATTGTACAGAATAAAACGCTAAAAGCAATATAGCCAAATAACCCTATTTTATGGCCCCGCCCCTCAGCCCCCTGGGGGGTCAGCCCCACCATTTGTACAATTTTGAATTCATGCCTCCCATGAATGCTTTTGATCAAATATGATTGATATCCAGTGCATAGTTCTAGAGAAGAAGTCGTTTGTAGCAATATAGCCAAATTGCCCCTATTTGGCCCCGCCCCTCAGCCCCCTGGGGGGTCAGCCCAACCATTTGTACAATTTTAAATCCCCACCACCTAGGAATGCTTCCAGTCAAATATGGTTGATATCCATTACTTGGTTCATGAGAAGAAGTCAATTAAAGCAATATAGCCAAATCGCCCTCTTTTGGCCCCACCCCTCAGCCCCCTGGGGGTTCAGCCCAACCAATTGTACAATTTTGAATCCCAACCTCCTAGGGATGCTTCCAGTCAAATTTAGTTTAATTCGAATCAGTGGTTAGGAAGAAGAAGTCGTTTAAAGGAATTGTTGACGTACGGACGAACGACGGACGGACGATGGACGGACGGACGACGGACGCCACGGAATGGCATAAGCTCACCTTGGTCATCCGGACCAGGTGAGCTAAAAATGAAGGAATTTGGTGATGAGCTTTTACATTTTATTAAAGTATTTGCAGAGAGGACTACATTTTGTCGCGTAGGGTTGTCTAGAATAGAACTTTTGGTAAAAGGATCCAGATCAAGAATTGTCTGTTGATGTGTCGCTTCCCGTTCCGGATTAGGTTTTCGTAAAAAATGTAATAAACAGAATATCTAACAGTGTCATGTGTGTGGTTTTGTGGCTAATATTTTATATGTTTCACTCTTTCTCTGCACTCGTGAAAAATATCAAAATATTTGATATATATTTGGTATTACTGAAGACACCGCTAGATATCCTCCATGTTTGTCCATGCTCTTGTCAGAATTTGTTAAAACCGCATTGAAACTGACAGCAGAGGATTTTGTAAGTCCTTAAGTAAGTATAAAATCTGTGAGTCTGTGTATCACCTCAGATTGTTGTCGTCTGCTAGCAAAATGTTACGATATGACAGCGAAAAACTTTAAAAAAATGAAATGAACTTTCCTACATTTACAATAAGGACTATGCCAACTTCAAGAAGGAGCGGGAAGCATTGACTTGTAGCTCAATAACCACTTAGATACTTTGTAAGTCATCGAATTTACACAGACACAACGAACGGTCTTCGAGGAAGGAAAGAAGGAACTTCACATACAAGTTTTCTGTGTCAGTCAGAATAATAGAGAAATGGTGTTTTATTTGCGGTTATACATCCAAAAGAAGGAACAACATACCATAACCTCCAAATTCGATTGTTACCATGGCAATTGTTTTATTTTATAAAGAAAATATTGGGGTAAGGGAGACAAGTCGCATTCAGATTATTGCACACTGTGAACAGATCACTCTGTCACATTCCAAGGTTTTCATCGTGGCTATAATAAATTTCATAGTCGGAAATGATATCTAGAGGCAAATCGTAAACATGGAAACTCGAGAGATGCATATATGATCCACCTGTCTTTTTTACTCTGTGCTCTTAAGCCTGCTTTCTTTCTGATCTATCTATTTTATATTTGTTTTATTTTGCGGGGCATATATTTCGCGTTTGTCCCCATCACAACTAATTCGCGGGGTTTAAAATTGATTTCGTGCTGACTTTGGTGACCACGAATATTTAGCGAAATTAAATCCCCAGTGAAAATTACCAACTAAACAATATGTTATCCCATCTTTATTACAATCAACCTATCTATTTATAAACCTACGTTCTTTGGTTAATCAATCTCAACCACATATTCATTTGTAATGTAACAATCCACATTTTTCTGTAAGGAAAGGAAATTACTTTTAATAAGTTTAAGCCACGATGAGGTGATTTCAGGTCCTGTTCTTCGAGAGCAGACATATACAAATGAACATGTATGCAGAGTGTCTTTACAGAATTAGAAAGTAATATGTAACTTATGCATCACCTTCGAAATTTTCACAGAAGCGTACAAATGTCAAATTGAGCCTCTGCCGGTCTGCAAACTTGGCAAGCAATTCGTTTTCATCTGACTGTGTACAGTTGTCAAACAGAGCGGTGATACAGTCCAGCATGCTCGTTGAACCCCCATTTCTAAAACATACACATGTACTTGAAAAATAGAGAACAAATAATGCAATGTTGGAAGGTGAAAAATTTTGGCCTATACATTTGAAAAGGCATAAAAATCCATTTTTATAAAGTCTAAATAAAAGTACTCACCGATATTTCACTTTAAATAAACATGCAGGTTTGGGGAGAGAATAAACCTGCTGTATCCCAACACATGCCCCTAAGAGGCGACTTATGTGTCCCCCACCCCCTCAGACTCAGGATGGTTTCTCCCTTACTGTTGTGGTGACAGAAGAAACCAAGACTCAAGAATAGACCTGCTGTATCCCACATCATGTGTATCGTAATAGACCTGCTGTATCCCACATCATGTGTATCGTAATAGACCTGCTGTATCCTACATCATGTGTATCGTAATGGACCTGCTGTATCCCACATCATGTGTATCGTAAAAGAATTGCTGTATCCCACATCATGTGTATCTTAATAGACCTGCTGTATCCCACATCAAGTGTATCGTAATAGACCTGCTGTATCCCACATCGTCTTTATCGTAATAGACCTGCTGTATCCCACATCAGGTGTATCGTAATATACCTGCTGTATCCTACATCCTGTGTATCGTAATAGACCTGCTGTATCCCACATCGTCTTTATCGTAATAGACCTGCTGTATCCCACATCATGTGTATCGTAATATACCTGCTGTATCCTACATCATGTGTATCGTAATAGACCTGCTGTATCCCACATCATGTGTATCGCAATTGACCTGCTGTATCCCACATTATGTGTATAGTAATAGACCTGCTGTATCCCACAACATGTGTATCGTTATAAACCTGCTGTATCCCACATCATGTGTATCGTCATATACCTGCTGTATCCTACATCATGTGTATCGTAATGGACCTGCTGTATCCCACATCATGTGTATCGTAATAAACCTGCTGTATCCCACATCATGTGTATCGTTATAGACCTGCTGTATCCCACATCATGTGTATCGTAATTGACCTGCTGTATCCCACATTATGTGTATCGTAATAGACCTGCTGTATCCCACAACATGTGTATCGTTATAGACCTGCTGTATCCCACATCATGTGTATCGTAATAGAGGTAGAAACATGTTTCTATGACTCTAGACAAATGTCACCAGTGTTGAACTTAAGATATTGAAGCTATCAACTCAAAAGCTAAGTTATTCGAATCCTCTCATCAATGAGGATATTGCACTTATTCTCATATTCAGCTGGTACATCTAAGTGGAAGCCAGCTGATATATCATCGGACGAAATTATTTCATGAATAAGAATTGATGTTGAGAAAATGAAATGTAAGCTTTGGTTTGGTTTGTTTGTGCTTTACGTCCTATTAACGGCTATGCGTGCCAGGTTTTGGTTTGGTGCTGGAGGAAAGCCGGAGTTCCCGGAAGAAAAACCGCCGATATACGGCCAGTACCTGGTGACTGCCCCACGTAGGTCTCTAACCCTCGACCCAGTGGGGGAGGGCTTGTGGTAGCAGAATGTCAGACGCCTCGTGCCAGGTTTTGGTTTGGTGCTGTAGGAAAGCCGGAGTTCCCGGAAAAAAACCCGCCGATATACGGCCAGTACCTGGTGACTGCCCCACGTAGGGCTCGAACCCTCGACCCAGTGGGGGAGGGCTTGTGGTAGCAGAATGTCAGACGCCTTAACCACTTCGCCACTGCGGTTACACATAATGTATGTACGTATAAGAAAATAGCTACATAGCTGCACTGACGAAGGGACCATCACTTACCACTTGGTTTGGGTGTGATAACTATTGAAATGTAAATACATAGGGTATCAGTCAATGATAGGGAAATATTCTGGGTATCAGACAATGATATGGAAATACATAGGGTATCTGACAATGATAGGGAAATAGACAGGGTATCAGACAATTAAAGGGGAATACATAGGGTTTCAGACAATGATAGGGAATTATAAAGGGTATCAGACAATGAACGGGGAATACATAGGGTATCAGACAATCATAGGGAAATATATAGGGTATCAGACAATGACATGGAAATACATAGGGTATCCGAGAATGATAGGGAAATATATAGGGTATCAGACAATGAACGGGGAATACATAGGGTATCAGACGATGATAGGGAAATACGCAGGGTATCAGACAATGATAGGGAAATACACAGGGTATCAGACACTGATAGAGAAATACATAGGGTATCAGACAATGATAGGGAAATAGACAGGGTATCAGACAATGAAAGGGGAATACATAGGGTATCAGACAATGATAGGGAAATATACAGGGTATCAGACGATGATAGGGAAATACGCAGGGTATCAGAGACCTGTTGTATCCCACATCATGTGTATCGTAATAGACCTGTTGGGGTATCAGACAATGATAGGGAAATACACAGGGTATCAGACAATGAAAGGGGAATACATAGGGTATCAGACAACGATAGGGAAATACATAGGGTATCAGACAATGATAGGGAAATACACAGGGTATCAGATAATGATAGAGAAATACACAGGGTATCAGAAAATGATTGGGAAATACACGGGGTATCAGACAATGATAGGGAAATACATAGGGTATCAGACAATGATAGGGAAATACATAGGGTATCAGACAATGATAGAGAAATACATAGGGTATCAGACAATGATAGGGAAATACATAGGGTATCAGACAATGATAGGGAAATATATAGGGTATCAGACAATAATAGGGAAATACATAGGGTATCAGACAATAAAAGGGAAATACATAGGGTATCAGACAATGATAGGGAAATATACAGGGTATCAGAC